TTTTTGGACAAGACTCAACTGCTGCCCATGTGCACAGCATGTGCCGATAACCGCCTTTGACTTTGTCAATCCAAGACTTGCTGCCCAATTTCGTGCCATGGCTTGGACCAGGCGCCAATTCCATTGTATCCAGCTGCATTGTGTGCAATTTGCCTTGCCATCGCCCACGAACTTGGCCCGTTTGCCGCAACTCAATGGCATGACAAGTCTGCCCGCGCACTGCCTTTCCGTTGCACATTTGCTTGCCTTTGCCCATCCGTTTTTGCCTTGCCTTGGCATCACTGCCTCATGCCTTGATGCCTTTTCCATGATTAAGTGTCATCCTTAGCCCTCAACTCATTGTCAAGCTCTTGCCAAGCTGCCTCGCCTCCGTCAAAGCCTTGGCCATCACTTGCCCGTTTTCCATTTTTGACATTGGTGCTGCTCATGCACCAAGCTTTGCAACACTCTTGCTGCCTCATGACAATATTCTTGTTGTCTGGTCGAGCTCAATTGTTGGAGGTCTAACACCCACCACCCTCATCTCCACCACCACCATCATCTCCACCACCACCGTCATCTCCCCCACCTTCATCTCCACCACCACCGTCATCTCCACCACCCTCTCCTAAGCCACCCACTCCTTCTCCTTCAACCAAGAAGGCTAAGTGCAAGAACAAAAACTACCCAAGTTGTTATAATCTCGAATTTTCATGCCCTGCCTCTTGCTCTGGTGGTTGTCAAGTTGACTGTGTCTCTTGCAAACCTGTTTGTAGTAAGTTACTAATTTCCTACCCTTTATTCTATTTTATATGATATTTCTTGTTTCTTATGGTTCACATAAGCTGGGACAAAGAGAGTATATTTTTATATTTGGAAGCTTTTTGCTTCAATTTTTATGTCAACCTTAATGATAAGCTCTTCTAGTAATAGAAATGACATGAAATCCTTAATCTATAGCACAGGTGTCAAAAGGTACTTTTTATATGTTATATTTAACTTATACTCCCCGTTTCAAATTAGATGAGGTACTTCCTTTTTAGTATGTTTTAAAATAAATAACACATTTCTATCTTACTGAGAAATTTTTATAATCACAAAAATGTCATGGTCCCACAAAGCTTTTACCCCTTAAGCTTTTTAAGGTCAAAAGATTTATAAGTTTCTTCTTTTCTTAAACTCCATCTCGAGTTAAACTTCTTTTAAGCTTTTATGTCGAATGTTTCTTTGTTTTGTTCGTTTTATTAGATTGGGGTCCAATAATAATGTCATATGAAATGAAATGAAATGGAGGGAGTAGATGCTTTTGACTAGACTGTATATTTACTGAATATTTTTATTTGGGACCTAGGGTGTGACATGCCTGGAGCTGTTTGCCAAGATCCTCGTTTCATCGGCGGTGATGGGATTACCTTCTACTTCCATGGTAAGAAGGACAAAGATTTTTGTCTTGTCTCCGACCCTGAATTTCACATCAATGGCCACTTCATAGGAAGGCGAAACGAGAACATGAAGAGAGACTTCACTTGGGTACAATCCATTGCTATCCTTTATGGTAATCACAAGATCTCCATTGGCGCACTAAAAACAGCAACATGGGATGATTCCATCGACCGCCTTTCCCTCCACTTTGATGATAAACCCATACTTCTTAATGACGAGGAAGGCGCAAGATGGCAATCTGAAACTTCACGTATGGCCTCTATAACTAGAATCAGCAACACTAACGATGTTGCCATCGAAGTTGAAAATATTCTCAAGATCACTGCCAAGGTTGTACCTATTACAGAGCAAGAATCCCGAGTTCATAACTATGGCATAACGAAAGATTACTGTTTTGCACATCTTGAACTTGGATTCAAGTTTATCTCTTTGAGTAATGAAGTGAACGGTGTTTTAGGGCAAACGTATAGGAAGAACTACGTGAGCAAAGTTAAGATGGGTGTTCTGATGCCTGTAATGGGAGGTGACAAGGAATTTGCAACTTCAGGACTCTTTGACGCTGATTGTTCCGTGGCTAGGTTTCAAGCAAATGGAGAACAATCTGATAAGGAGGTTGGCTTTGCTTTGGAGTTGCCGAGCTTGAGCTGCACTAGTGGACTTTATGGACGTGGAGTGGTCTGCAAGCGCTAGAATCATTACTAATGCAATTAACCTTAGGGTTTCATGATCACTACTTTAATGGATAAGGATTTATACCAATAATAATGGAGATTCAAGCATCTCCTCAAAAATATCTTTGACTTCTAAAGAAAAGTTAATGATTTTATTCTCCTTACTGATGGAGAAATATTGGCAATTGTTTCTTTGAACTTTGAAGTGGAGTATATTTTTTTTCCTTTTTCGAAATTTGTATCTTTAAAGGTTTTGCAGGAAAAAAGCACATTGTGGAGTGAGAGATGTTCGAACTCTCACGACATGGATAATTAGGACTCTACATAATTTGGTAAATACCGAATTACGGTTGTCACACCTCCTTTTTCACCTACACCCCCAGAAGGAGTATGAGGGAGTTTTTTCCAACTTAAGTTGACAATCGAAATGGGATTATTTTATTTAAAATTCAGAGTCGCCACTTGGGATATTTTATGATATCCCAAGTCACCGGTTCGAATCCCGAATCGAAGAAAAGATTGACTCTGTATTATAGTCCGCGAACACAGAAATCCGGGTAAGGAATTCTGTTAACCCGGGAGAAGGTGTTAGGCATTCCCGAGTTTCGTGGTTCTAGCACGATCGCTCCACTGTTATATTCGGCTTAACTCTCTGATTTTAAAACATTTCGAACCTATGTGCACTTTTAACCTTATAACCGCCTTTATTCATTTTTAAAGAAAATTGCAACGTTATTAAAACACATCTCGAACCACGTCACATAAATGCACCCGTGGTTTTTTGACATATTTGAACATCGTTGAGATTTGGATTTGGGTCACATAAATGTGCACCCGAGTTTAGGAAGGTATTTTTAAATTATGCGCCTAAAGCAACTACGCATTTTCAACTCTATGGGAGCCATGAAAATTCGCTAAATGGCACGCCTCGAATTTTAGGATTAAAATGTTAACTAAGCAAGGGCCATGCATTTTTGATATTTTATTTGGCACGACACACCTCGATTATTCTATCAAAAATATTTCTAAACTAAGTTTTTGAGGGTCATAAACTGTTTGCACTATCTAATATGGCGCGCTTCAAATCAAGGAGAGCTTAATTAACTTCAACAAAAATATAACTTGGAACCTTTGTTTGTGCAAATGCTACTTCGAAGAAAGTTGGGCTCACAGGTCGAATCGCGCCCTAGAGAATAGACGGGTAAAAAGGGTCGTCCAAATTACTTGGAATCTTTCATTCAATTGGGCTAAGCGTTAGGCCCAATCATGGGAATCAAACAATTTGGTACAAAAGTTAATTAATCACAAATCAATCGAAACTATCTGAAACAAAAAGCTTGAAATAACATTTTTTAACACATGGATTTTAGCTACGTGGACATGAACTGATTAGGCAGAATTATGGACGTTAATTTCTCATGCAATTCAGGCCAAATCTGCTGTGAAAAAGTGAATCCAGCAACAACAATTAAATACGCTACTGGGCTCAAGACATAAGCCCAGATAGCATTGACACACTTGTTCTTTTTTACACATAGCCCAGAATAGTGAACCCAAACCTTGTAAAAACCAAGGCTGAAGATCAGGACTCAATATCGAGTCTATTCCAATCAACAAGCTACCATTTGCAACAACAATAAACCTGTTAACCCTCATCTCTACACAGTAATTGAGACACAAAGTAGTTTCAAAGGCTACTAAGAGCACATGCTTGACTTCAACTACCCAAATATTCATGTTTGAATTCAATTCTAAGCTAAATTCAAAAACTTGAACTTAAAATCACTTAACTCTTTCTCAATATTGACAGTAACGGAGTCTAGGAATTAGCACCATTCACTTGAATCAAAAGAAGAAGAGAAATCAATACCCCAAACTCATAAAGAGCATAGATTCATCTCTACAACATACCAATGACATAAGATAACCGAGCTATCATGTATAAACAAGGTCTATTACAGAACAATTAAAGAAGAAGCAAATGAAAGGAAATTCGGCAACTTGTATTTAGTCAGGCTTCAACTCGAAATACATGTTCCTAATCACTTGTTCACAATGGTTTGAGAAATACTTGGTAACGAAAGGAAATAAAAGGTGAGGGATCAGAAGTAATAGCAGCAGGCAATCAGCAGTAGTTTTCAACCAGTTTCAAACCCAGAAAGTGAATAAAACAACCCAGAAAAACAGTTTCAATCCAAGTAATGAACTAGAAAACTTGGGCCAGATTTGATTTCAACTCGTTTCAACTATCAACTATCCAGAAATTGTTTTAGTCCTAAGGAAACTTCAGAAATCACCAGTAACTCAATGAAACAGTTTTATTCTTTAGAGTTCTCAAAATGTTCTTTTAGCTCTTTCAGTATTTCTGGAGCTCCTTGTCTTTGAACTCAGTGTGTGTGTGTGTACTCTATCTTTTTTTATTTTATTTCAGGGTATCAGACTGCTGTGTATATGAACTCGGTGCCTATCTCCCTCTCTCTCTCTCTTGTTCTCCCTTTTTCTATCTATTTTATAACCTCTAAAATAGGCAGCAAGTTAGTGCATTTTCCATTACAAATCTCCTTTTCCTTTTTTAATTATCTCCGCTCAAACACCCTTTTCTTTATATCATTCAAAGTGTAATTATAACCCCACCATTATAGAAACTTCTTAAAGTTAGGTAAAATTCTTTTTATTGAACAATTTTCCAAACCACCCCTTAAGTTCCTAATGTCATTTAACATCCCCTTAAAGTTCTAGGTGTTTACAAATTAAGGCAAACAATTTTCTAACAAAAACATAGACAAACAGAATCAAGAAGGTGTCAATTTCCAAAACCTAAATAGCCTTATCATGAACTGAAATCAGAAATCAATCAACGCCTGAGTAACTGAAATTGATATTTATGAAGAAACAAACAATGAATGCCCTATTTCAAACTTTGAATCAATTACACCACGTCATCTAATCAGGGATTCAAACGATACTAACATGCTGATTTGAATTAAACACAACAGACTTAAATTGAAGACTGGAACCCTACTGACCTAATGGCAATCCCGAACGTTTAACGATTGAACACAGAAGCTAATTAAACCTAAAACTAAGAAGAATGGATAAATAAAAAACTCAGAGCACAACCCCTTTTTTAGAAATTGAAAAGAAAACTAGAAAAATGGAAATAAAAACAAACTAACTTAAAGGGAAGAACTAGGTTTGAAAACTAATCACAATTTCAGTCGAAAGACAGACCAATCAATTATATACAGAGAAGAAAAAAAGAAGGAGCGAAACAAACACTAAAAATGAACATAAAAATTAAAGGAACTCACCGACTAAACTTGAATTTACCCTTGATACTCTGACTCACCCCAAACTGATGCTAATCATTTGTTCTTTATCAAGAACAAATGAACAGCATCGGTTTTGTAGTGAATCAATCTTCTAATAATGAAAAACTAGAAGCTTGGATCGATGCATGTCATCAGGTTCAACAGAAACTGATTTTTAAATTTTAAGGTTCGAACTTAGATTTAAAATTCGACGAGTTCCGGTCAGATTCGAAGGAAACCAATGCTGGATTTGGTATGAGGGAGTTATGGGGGTTATGTGGTGTTGATTTGGGGTCGATTGGGTAAGCTAGGGTTCAGGGATTTTGGGACCGGAATGCTTCGATTGAAGATTCGAGAAGTGCTATGGTGATTTGAGGGAAACCAATCATAAATTAGGGAAGATGGAGACATGGGGATTCCCTGGTGTTAATTTGGTGGTGGTTTGAGGCGGCACCGCCACCGGAGAAGGTGGAGGATTTGGGGGCGGCGCTAGGGTTAGGTAGGTGTCTCTGAAGGTGGGGTGAAATGAAGAGATGGGATGGGGTAGGAGGTGTTTGGATAATTAAATCTGTAAAAGGGCCCTTGATTCCGGACCGTTCGATCCAGTAAGATCAACGATCCTGATTGTATATAATTAAAACAGGGTCGTTTTGGTTAAGCTGGGGCGGACCGGGTATGGGAGACGGGTCTGGGCTTGTTTGGGGTGGGTTTGGACGGGTTTTGTTTGGGCTTGGGGATCTTTTGGCCAAATTGGCCCAAAACCGGATTTTCTCTCTTATTTTCTTTTTCTTTTCAATTTTCTTTCTAATTTCTTTTTAAAAAATTAAAACTTAAAAATCCTAAATTAAGCTATAAAAATCCAAATTATCTTAAAATACTATTTATCTCTAAATAATAATTATCACACATAATTAATACCAAATTAAAAGAAAATCGCAAAATTTTGACATTAAACACTAAAATGCAAAAATACTTTATTTTTTTGAATTTTTCATTTTTGTAAAACAACATTTTACTAAATTAACCAAAAAATGTAAAATCAAATCCTAAGTACAGATGCTATATTTTTTGTATTTTTTAATGCATTAATAAAATTAAATATGCTCACAAAGATATGCAAACAATCAGGAAAATCGCACAGTAATTCCTAAAATAACACATAATTAAATAAAAAAACCCTAATTTTGGGTATTCTTTTGGAGTAATTCATATGAGGCAAAAATCACGTGCTCACAACTGCCCCTCTTTGCCCGAAAACATGAAGAGTTTTTGTGCAAAGATAAAGTGAGCGGATACGAGCGATTTTTGCCCGTTTGAATACTCCGTGGGAAGCATTCTTTGAAAGATTTGACCGAACCTTTGCTTCAAAAGTTTCCTATTTATCCTTGGATATAAAGGAATCAGGTCCATGTATTTCAGGAAGTTTTGGTAGCTGGGACTAATATGAAGCTGCGATTTTACTGTTGTTGTTGCTGCTGCTACTACTTACTGACCTCGTTATTACACCATGACAAAATAAAGAAGCTAGACTAAAATATGATCTATGCATTACAAAGATCTACTCTATACTTCTCAAACTTGATCTTGTGATTCTTGTTGCCTCATTGACTTGTGTTTTCCAATGAAAGTTCCTTTGTTGCTGACTTGAATTGTATTCTTGAGATGCTTTATCTTTCCTCCAGACGGGCACCTCATTGTTGAACCTTTAAACGTCTTCCTTTGACCATTGTTGCCTATCCTCTGTTCTGCAGGCGGGCTCCTGATTACTCGAACTTGAATTGCTTCTTCCCCTCGTTTTTCAGGCGGGCTCCTGACTACTTGAAATTTGAATTGTATTCCCTTGTTCTCCAGGTGGGCTCCTGATTGCTGAAACTCGAAATGTATTCTCTTGTTCTCCAGGTGGGCTTCTGATTGCTGGATTTGAAATGTATTCCCTTATTCCCCAGGTGGGCTCCTGAT